AGAGTAACTACATTATAGTGTCTAAAATGTCCAGTTTTTAATAAAAAATTACTAGACATGCAGAGAGACAGGAAAATGTGTCCTATACTCGGGAATAAAAGAGGTCAAAAGAAACTGTTTCTGTGTGTCCCCAGATGTTGGATTTAGCCAATAACGACTTCAAACAGCTACTCTAAGGGTATTAAGACATCTAAAGGAAACCATGTTTAAAGAATTAGAGTATGACAACAATGAATCAACAAATGGGAATTCTCAATAAGAGACAGAAATTATAGGAAAGAAAGAACTCAATTTTTATGCTGTAGCTGAAATAGACAATAACTGAAATGAAAAATTCACCAGAAGTGCTCAACCTCAGATTCAAGATTGCAGATGAAAACAATCAGTTCCCTTGAAGAGAGATAAATAGAAATTACCTTATTTGAAGAAGAGAGAGGGAAAAAGGATTAAAGAAAATTAAACAGACCCTCAGCAAGTTGTGGGACAACATCAGATGTACCAACATGTATGTAATGAGACTCACAGAGGAGAGGGGAGAGATAAAGGGGGAGAAAAATTATTTGAAAAAATAATCGCTGAAATTTCCCAAATTTGATGAAAAACATCAATCTACACATCCAAGAAGCTCAATGAAGTCAAAGTAGGATACATACAAAAAGATCTACACCTAAACACATCATAGTCATGCTGTTTAACAAAGACAAAGAGAAAATCTTGAGAGCAGCAAGAAGTTGACTTATCAGATATGGATGAGCTTCAAAAGGATGGAAGCAATGGAGGCCTTTCTAGAAGGCAGTGGGGTGATGTGCCCACAGTGCTGAAAGAAAAACAAAAGAGTCAACCAAGAATCTTACATCCAGAAAAATCATCCTTCAAAAATGAAAGATGAAATAACTACATTACCAGATCAAGAAAGAGAATTCATTGCTAGTAGACTCGAACTACAAGAAACACTACAGGAATTCCTTCAGGCTGAAAGAAAATGATGCCAGACAGTAACTCAAATCCATAGGAAAAAAATGAATGAAGAGCGCTGAAAATGGTAAATACGTAGATTAATATCAAAAAAGTCTATAAATATACTTTTTCTCATTTCTTATTTTAACTTCTTTAAAAGATATAAAGTTGTACAAGCTGATAAATATAATATTTTATTGTTGGGTTTATAACAGATATAGATGTAATATATATGACAATAATAATAAAAGGAGAAGGGAGAGAATGGAGCTATATTGGAGCAAAGATATTTATTTTATTTTATTAGATTTAACTGAATATTAATCTGAAATAGACTGTGATAGGTTAAGCTGCATACTGTAAGAGCACCCACTAAGAAAATATTTTTAAAATCGGAAAAAAAATCAACAGAAAAATTAAAGTGGTATCCCCAAAATATTTATTCAGTCAAAAAAAAGGAGGAGCCAGGAAGGAGGAAAAAAGGAATGAAAAAGACAGGAGACGTGTACAAAACAGAAACAAAATGGCAAATATACATCCAAACCTATCAATGATTCCATTAAACGTAAATGCTCACGGAGGGTCATAATAATTACAATAATAATAGCTAATACGTATTGAGAGCTTACGATGTGCAGGTCCTATACCAGGCACTTTAGATATTCATCTTTTCTAATTCTCATAATAAAAAATTAATAGCCCTGTGGGGTGGGTATCGTTCTTATTTCCATTTTAGACACCAGGAAACCAAGGAAAATCGAGATCGAAGAACTTGCCCAGGGGTGATAGAACAAGAAAATGAAAGAGCTTCTTGGGATCAAAATGACTCAGATCAAATCAAAATGACTTTAGAGGCGAAGAAACTGAGGCACAGGGAAATTACCTGGCCCGAGGTCACACACTAAATGGTAGAATGAGGATTCAAGCTGATTGATCTGGCTGCAGAGCCTGTCTGCATAGAATGTTGCCTCCCAATAAGTCGCATTATTTTCCCCTCAATTCATCAGTTAAATCCCAGAGAAAATGGGCGAAAGGGAACATGCAGGTGGCTCTGAAAAGGGAAAGGGGTCCTGAAATGGAAGCTGAGGTGGGATGGGATGGGAATGTACCAGTCATTCCTGCTTTACCTTCGTGATGGGGGAGCGTTTGTGAGCGGCTCATGTAAATTTCAGATCATTCATTCATCTGTTCACTTGTTCATTCATAAATACCTACTCTCAAGCTTCCTTCTTCTTCCACACAGGGAAGAGGTTGAGATTAAGGATTAGAAAACTACCATTTTAATGAGCACCTCATATAATCCTCACAATAGCCTGTGAAGTAAGTGTGACTATCACCATTTTGTTGATGAAGAAGCGGAGACTCTGCAAACTTCATTGCCAGTGGTCATAAAAGTTGTACATGGCAGAGCCAAGTAGTGAGGCTGGGTCTGCCTGACTGCACTGTCCACACATTTCCACCTATGCCTGGGGGGTAGGGAAGGATGGGGACAGGGAAGGGGAGGGAGGGGAGCCCTGGCGTCAGACGGAGAGTCAGGATTCACTGTGCTCTGCATGTGCATTTCATCACCTTGATCTTAGGCAGTCAGTGATGAACAATTAGCAAGTGGAGCTTACAAAAAACAAACCTGTTGTCTTTTGTTTAATTCTTTATTTGAACATCAAATTGGTTGAGAAAAGTGTTTAAGGTGCTTGAACATCCCACTGGATTCTTTACTTTTTAAATGTGCAAAAGAGGTTTACAAGTGTGTTTCATGAAACAAAGCAAAGCCGCGACAAAATAGAATCACATCAAGAATAGTATGCTTCAGCAATAGGGCATATTAATCCATCAAAGCACAATTTGGCATTTGAGCCTTTTCCCGTAAAACAAGAGCTCTAGACTGAAGAATATGTTGTGCACAAAAAGCACTGTTTATAAGCTGTGAGAAAGCATAAACTGGCATAATGTCACTTATTAATTCAAGTCTTTGTGACCAATGACCTCTCTGAATGCAAAGGGGTCCATTTCTCAGGCACCTGCTCGTGGGTCTGTATGTTATTTCCGGGGTGCACAGCTCTGTACAAACACACTGAAGATGGGTTTGGCACATGGCAGCATTTACATATTTAAAAAGTTCAGGCACATTTGGATGCAAAAAAAAAAAAAGAATAGAAATTTTTCTTGAATCTCTAAAAGACAGTGCAAAATTGAAGTGCCATAATAGAGGCAGCAATTACTTAGAAAACGATTTTAAATGACTTCGAAAGAGGCCACATTCACTTTAATCTAAATGGAAAAGAAATACAGATAGAAACAGAGTAATCACACTAATGAAAAGGTGGATATTTGGGGCCACAGTTAAATTCATTTGCTCCAGTTGAGAGTAAGTTTTCAGGGAGTTCACCTAGGAAGTGTGCAGTGTAATCTGGATCATCTTCCCAAGACTTGTACCAAAGAGAATCATGGTGGCCTCATAAGCTACTGCATGTTTCCTGAAGCAGATTTACCTGTTTTAATGGTAGACATTCCTACAGTCCCAGTGATCATTCCCAATATCCACAGTCCATCTCAGAGTTGGTTGGAAAGTATGAAAATAGGAAGAGATTTGGAATTGGTTTCATGTAGGGTAGTCTAAACCAATGGCCTAAATCAATGGCTGTTTCAGTGTATAAGATTTTAATGCAAGACACCTTAATGTGATGGAAAGTAAATTATTAGTAAGCCCCTTATTTGTTCAGCCCCCAAGAGACATGGGATATGTCATGGTTACATACTTGCAAGGTTAATAGGCAAATCTAATCAAAGACTGCACTTCCTTAGGGGCTGGACTTTGCAACCTACACAGGGCCCTCTCTTTGGATGAACTAGCCTCTCCGATTGTCGTATGGCAGCATTTCAGAATCATTATAGCAAGCCTAGAACTACGCAATGGCTAAGAGAAACACAAACCACAAGCTATTCTTTGGACTATACTTCACATACCACATGTTCTTCCCTAGAACTCAAGCTGCCATTTTGGAAATGGCTGTCAGACAGAGCTAATTATTTGTGGTTTACAGGACAGAAGTGGAATTCTGAATCCTGGTGGGTACCCTAGATGCCAGTATTGGTCTGCCTCAAATATTTTCAAGATTCATATTACTATATTTCCCATTCTCCAAATTCCTAAACCCACTTCCCCATGCTACCCCACCCCCCAGGTAGATCATGTCTTTCAAACTCTAAATTGCCTCTGAGTTGGGGAAAAAACACAGCATGTTCCCTACACCCAACATCAAGAACCTCAGTTGCAAAGTGTCAGCTGTCCATTAGTGGCACTCCAAATAAGAATAAAAAGAGATTTCTAAAATTATTTGAAACTCCTGGGCTAACATTCCAACCATCTGGTATTCCCTGCCCATTTCAAATGTAGTAGTATCTTAACATGAATACAAACACGTTAGAGGAATAATGTAAAACCCTCCACTGTATTATTGTTTGGATTTAGCTGGTATTATATCATCTATAGTCCTAAAATTTTTTTTGTTTCTTTTTATTTTTTTAAAAGAAAATCTAAGTATAAACATTAAAAAGAACCCACTGACCCATTAGCTACTGTCCAAAAATATTACTACTGATATTTTGGTTAAGCAAAATTAGCTGCCCTGAATAATTTTCCTTTTCAGGCATAATCTCTGCTACATATGATTGTCTATCATTCAATATCCAACAATAGGCAACTGGATTAGTGCTATTTTGTCTACCGTGGATATAAAAGTTGATATGAAATGTGATCTTCATTTAAATGAATAATCACCAGGCCTTAGGCATCAACGACTGCATACAAAAAAATCTAAATATTTTTCGTTGGTTTTGCATGTTAACCCAGTCAAATCAAATCCAGAACAGAATTATTACATTCAGTTGTCTAATAAACAAGCATTGCAATTTCAAAAAATATATATTATACTATATAAGGTGCTTCTTAAACAAAAACAACATAAGAATTATGTTTTAAACATATTCTTAACGCAGCTATACATAAAATTGTCCCCAAATTTAGATGCACATGTATGAAAAACTTTTTTTTTTTTTTTGCCCTCCCAGGTTCCCAGTCCTTTGGTGACCACTTACTGGGCAATCAGAAATGAATGCGATCTACTTTTTGAAACTGACATCCCAAGAGAAGCCCGAGAAACTTCGCTGGGTTGTTGGCTAACGCATCGCCTCTCAATGGGGTTCAACTTACAGACAATGAGGTCACCAGAAGAAAGCAAACCTTCTTTGGCCCGGGGAAGGCTGCCCTCTGGCTGGAGTGAGCCTTTCCTTTTTAGCCTAGAGGTCAAAGGATTCCTGTGGCCTAATGCTAGTCTTGCTAGCCTGGCTTACAAAGTTTAGAGAAAGGAGCTCTGGGGGATGTTGTTTTATGTTTTTTTGTTTTCCCAAGGCCAAACTCTGATTTTTGGATGAGCTCGAAACAACCAAGGGCGTGCCCCAAGCGGCCTGAGTAGGGAGCACTCCTAAGCTTGCTCTCCTCCCTGGCCCTACAGTGCGCTGGGCCCACTGTAGGAAGGCAGCTGTCTGCTGCTGCTTCCATTCAGGGCCATGCCGGGAAATGAAGAGGAAAACTGCCCCGTGGATCCCAGGGCAGCCCCACAGTGCAATATGGGGTCTGCCAGGAGCCATCCCTGGTAGATGCAGCCTCTGGCAGGGCCGCCCTGAGCCTCAGTTTTGTCCAGTTTCTACCCTGCTTTCCTCCTTGTTCTCTAGTACCTACAATAATCATGCCCATTTACTATTTAGCCCTAAAAGTGTCACCAGGGTGCCCGCTCATTTAAACTACCCTTGGTCATAGGCTGGGCACTACACATGGCTAATTCACCTCCAGTGTAAGTTACACACCAGGAAGATTCAAGTAGAGCGCCCTCTGCTGATAAGTGTGAGACCACACCAGAACCGGTCCTGAAGCCAATTCACTGCCAAGTCCTGGGGGTTTTCTTTTATAAAACAAAAACAAAAAACAAGAATTTATCCCTCACAGGGAAACTGGTCTATGTGGAGTTGACATAACTGGGATCAACAGCTGTTTTTATAGGGCCATGGGAAGCAAGAATTAACTGGAACCCATGATCCCGCACATAGTGCTCATAAAAGCCAACGGAAGAACATTCAGCAAATCTAAAGGTGCAGTGTATTAAGTTGACAAAGTCTTGACAATCAGGGAATCTTCCTTCCCTCTGTGCATCTTGTATTCCTATAGGGGAAATGAATAGACAATCACCAGATATTCTGTTACAGCCATGCAACTGAGCAAAAGCTTTAAGATATTACTTTAATAAAATAATGTATTACTATAGGAATACAAGAGGATGATATAATAAACCCTTGACCTAGCGTTCTCCAAGTCAGCAATTAAAGGAGCCACTTTTGATTCTTTCCTGTGGCTTATTCTTAGATTCATTAAAAAGTGCTTCACAGCGGTGAAATGCCCACTCTACAGGGCTGGGTCACAGCCAGTAGCTTAAATGCACAGAGTCATCTGAGCCCCAGCTCATAGACTGAGTTCAGTCGTGAAAAGCTCTAGGAATCCTCACGCTTAGTAATATAACAGAGACAGAAAGCTGTTACAAAGAATTTAGCCCTGGAATCCCTTTGGCTGTTCCCAAAAGAAGGCGTGCCACTAAGAACTGAGCAAGCAAATGTATGGCCACTCATATTAGAAAGCCAGAGTGGCGGATGCATGCTGGAGTGTGTGCAAGAGCAGAATTCTGCTAGAGTGAGGCATGACATGGATAAAACATGGCAGGGATTCTCAGAACCTTGGGGGAGCCGAGGAGCTCTCAGATTGTGTTGGGGAAACCCTCCGCCTCCCCGGCGATGTAATATGTTTGCAAGGAATGTGATGAAGTTGAGCCAGTGGTGGCTAGCTGGCTTTGGTTTGTCTCCTCCATGGGTATGTCCCCGTGGTTGGCTGGGGCGTGCAGGCGGTGGGCATCCAGCATCTCCAGCAGCAGGTCGTAGAGGGGCACCACATTCTTGCACTTCATGTTGTACAGATGCTCCATGCCTTTGTTACTGTGGGTGGGAAGACATAGAGAGGACCACTTTAGACCATTGCAAGCCCCAGGACTGCTGAACCCCTAGGAAGGGAAGTAAGAAAAACTCCAAAGACACTTTTATGCCAATCTTTCTTTCTTCCTGTTTAAAGAGTCATTTAGGATTTCACATGTGGGTGACTTCCTTCCACTGACTCCAATGAAACCCTATTTCCCTCTATCACCATTACATCTAAAAAGAGAGCAAATGAGATATACAGACAAGTAGGGGGGAGTTTTTTAAATGTGTAAAACAGTCCAAGAAGTTCCCTTCTTAAAACTTTTGAGGGCTTCCCATTTATCTCAGAATATAATCGAAATTTCTTTCCATGCTCTACAAGGTCCAACTGATGTGGCTTCCACCTACCTCTTGGAGCTCTTCCTGCCTCTCCCCTAACTCATTCCCTTTGGTTACACTGGTTTTTGTGTTGTCCCTTGAAGAAACTAAGCTCCTTCCAGACTCAGGGTATCTGTACTTGCTGTTCCCTCTGCCTGGATGAACTTTTCCCAGCTCTTCAAACGCCACCTCCTCTGAAAGGCCTTCTGCTACCCCAGTGGCAGCGGCCGCAAGTCCGTGAAGCTTCAGCTGCCCTCTTTCACCTTACTCTATTTTCCTTCCAGCACTATGACAACCTGAAATTCTCCTATGTATGTATGTATGTATGTTTATTCTTGCCCCTCCCCAAGCACACAACACACCAACACACACAGTGCAAGTTCCATGAAGGGCCGCAATTTGCTCATCTTGTAGGCCTACAACAGTGGCAAGAACGTGGTAAATGTCCAGAAAATATGGGCTAAGTGGACACAGGAAAATACAGGCAAATGGAATTTCTCCTTTTACCACTTTCCTCCTCTGTCCTCCTCCATCAGCCCAACTCTGCTCTGTCCCCACCACACCGCCAGGAAAAAAAATAGAACAACTATTATCTTGCTTGAAATTTTTTTAAAAAGAATTATGTACCATGAGTAGGCAGGACAAAGAGAATGTCTTAGAAAATATTTGCATTTTCAGTGGGGGAAAAGTCACGAGTTGGAGACATGCCATGAAAACACAGCATCAAAGCTATTCAGGCCTTACAACACAACAGCCTAAATTACCTTCTTGAGTGGTATTTTGGTTTTTTATGTTTTCGTTTTAATTTAAAATGCTGTTAAAGTTAAATGCCCCCTGGATCTGACACTTTCTTGTTCGTGCAACCTAATGAATCACATTTACAGTCGGATGAAATCTGGTGTTAAATTCTCTGAGTAACAACATATGGCTGGGGCCAAGCTTGATAAAACAGAGTTCTGTGATTTAGATTGGCTGAAAGGAGGCGCCAAAATATTATTGTGTGTGTGTGTGTGTGACAGAGAGTGAGAGAGAGAGAGAATGCTTAAAGCTTTCGACAGAATACCAACTTCTCTCCAGCTTTTCACACAATTCAAACAAACTCTAGAGAGCCCTCTCTCAGCGGCTGCCCTCGTCCATGCATTGCCAGTAAAACTAACAAGCCTTGTAAATTTAGTGCAAATATATTTGGTATTAACTAATTAGGCTTGCTAATGCTGACAAGCAGAATGGATTTGAAAATTCAGCAATTCCTACCAACAAATAAAAACCTTCATCTGCAATACATTGTTTCTACAACATCAGTAAAATTCCCAGCTCAGAGTAAAAGCTAATACATTCTTCAAGTGAAAGGTTACTCTCTCAGCCAGGAAATTTGGGAGAGGATATGTTATTCTGATCCATTCCCTGCTTCCCTCTTTATCAAAAGAAACAGATAGGAAAGGCCTAGAAATGTGTACCTTTAATGCAGTCACCTACTCCACCAGCCAATGTGAGTCCCTCATCTGTGACACCGGGAGTCCTGCAGAATCCCTGAGGAAGTCATCATTTGGGAATTTCAAATTTACAGGGTAGAGGAAAACCTCAAATAATTTGTTCATTCGTTCATTTACCCACTCATTCATTCATTCACTCAGTAATAATGTTGTGAGCATATATGACATGTAAGACTTCATATAGGGCACTGTGGGGGATACAAAGAAAGAAAGATACATTTATTTCCTCAAGAAGCTAACAGTTTGCAAGGTTGATTCCAGAAAGGGTGGCACCTGGGACTTTGATGGGACAAACTTCTTGCCATTTGACTCATAGTGTCAAGGTTTGAAGGCCCCTTAAAAATTACTCCAATGCTCTTCAGACACCTTGGCCCCTCCCTTAGAGCCACTAAGAAAAGACATCTCTTTTTCATTCCTAGGGTCCTGGTGTAAGCCCAGGTCATATAGATTTCATCATGCAAGGGTACCTGTCCCTCTAGTGGCATCACTGCCTCTCATTGTTGTGGCCTTTCTAGAGTCAGGAATCCACCCCTTTCTTCATCTCATCCTTGTAGGCTGAGTTCTGTTCATGGGAATGGTATCCACTAAGGCTCTGACCAGCCATATTACATGACTATTTACACGGGAAATGAGGCCACTTTCACCTAGTAGCACAGAGAGGCTCTATTTCCTCTGCTAATGTCCTTGCTTAGCTCCTATAGAAACTATTTATTGAGTAGTTACTATGTGCAAAGCCTTGTGCTAGGAGGTACTGGGAACAGAGAGTAACCAAGCTGGACTGTGGTAACTACCTCACAGAGTTTGCAGTCTAATGGGGCAGAAAGATAATAAAATGGGCAATAAGCATGAGGAAGAACAGGGTGTAAGTCCCAGCTAGGTGTCAAGGGTCTGGAGATGCTTCCTACAAGGAGTGATCTCTAAGCTATGACAGATTAGCTTACTGTTCAGAAATATTCACTCCCCATGCGTCCATGATCCTTGACTTGGGGCTTTATCATGTAACTTGCTTGGCCAATGGAATGTTAGTGGACGTGACTTAACCAAAAGATTAAAATGCACTTGCCCAAACAGTCTTCCTTTCTTGTGCCTCTGCCATCAATATGAGAAGAACATGTCCCAGCTAACCTGTGAGTACAAGGAGGTTGAGAGAGACCTATAGGCCTGCATCTTGAAGCAGTCTCCCAGCTGTGCCCAACCTCCATCAGCGGACCCATAGACATGTGAGTGAGCCCCGCGGAGATAAACAGAGCTGTTGAGCCAATCTGCAGCCTGGAAGAGACCTCCCCCATGACTCATAGCACGGTTGGTTATGGCTAGGCCTCTGACTATGAGGAAGTCCTAGAATGTGAAATAGGAGCTAGGTCATAACAAGTAATATAAGCAAAATAAAGGGGTTTATACTTTCCTCTAAAAGCAATGGGAAGCAATTTCAAAGGTTTAAGTAAGGGAATGACGTGATCAGATTTGATATTAGAATGATCACTTTGGCTCTATTGTGGAGCGTGGATTAGAAAGGATCAAGATTAAAGGTAGAGAGACGTGTTAGGTGGCTGGTGCAGAAATCCAGGAGGAAATCCTGGTGGCTTGGACTAGGGTAATGGCAACGGGGGTGACAAGAAGGGATTTGAGAGGGATGGAGGAGTCAATGTTGACTCTCCATGAGGCTCTGGGCCAAGAGTCTCTCAATTAGGATTTCTAAGTGTAAGTAGGGAGAGTATGACACAGGAACCATAATGGATATGCCCAGTGCCTTCAGAGGATGGGTGTGCTCACAAGCTTCCCTTGACTGGGTGGGACAAAGAGAATGACCAAACATTGCCCTCCCCCCAACCTGCACACTGCACACTCTTCCCCCACGTAAGACCTTGCACATGGTTCAAACTGAGCTTAAATATCACTTCCTCTATGAAGCCTTCTCTGATGCTTGCTCCACACCCCAGACAGATTGAATGTCTCCCTTCTCCATCCTCCCGTAGCATTTATGCTTATTAGGTTCCAGGAAGTGTTCCAAGTGTGTTATCCATAGGCAGGCATCAGCCCTTCCTGGGGCAGCTGGAACATGTATTTGGGGGTTTGCTTTCTTTACGTGATGAACCCCAAGATGCCTTACCTCATGTGCCTGATGTGGGAGAGGATGAGGAGGAGCTGGGCCAGGCGCCGGTGCTGCTGCTGCAGAGTCAGGCCTGCTTTGGCCATCAGATGGATCAAGGTGTCTGTGATCTTGTCCAAGACACGGTGGATATGGTCCTTCTCTTCCAGAGAGTTCAGGGTGTTGGACAGAAATGTGTACACTCCTGAATGTGCAGAGAGAGAGTGAGAGAGAGAAGCTCAAAGAGGATGAGGTCTAGGAGACTAGGAGCGTGCATGGGACATAACACTGAGCCAGCATCTTTACCCTGCACAGCACTGGGGAAGTTTGAGACCCATTTGATCCAAGCAACTATGCAAAATTCCTAATCAATATGCACATCTGGGAGAACTGAGAAACCCATGTGGCCTCCTGTGTGTGAGCCAATATCCAGGACTTGTCATCAAGATTCCCCGGACAGGCACTGTTAGCCTCGGGGCCATAATGGTTACACTAGCCCCCCCCTTCTCTGACAGGTCTGACACCAACACAAACTAACCCATTAATGCTGACGACAACCCCATGAGAGAGGCATTATTGTTCCTTTTCACATGAAGAAACTGAAGGGCAGAGAGATGCATTAACCTTCTAAGATAACTCGACAGGACGGAGCAGAGCTGAGAATAAAGCCCAGCGTGCTGACTCCACATCTGGTCATCATCATGGAGGCTCTCGGGAGACACGCAACACACTTGGTGAGATGCGCAAAGAAAGTGAAAGTGACCTGCTAAGTGATTGACAGGTAATTTTTCCAGGTAGGATTTAATTTGCTGTTATGTTTCAGGTCAAGTTTAGTACTTTTCATCTTCAGCTGAAAGGTTTATGATGGGTGGGTATAGAGGACCTGGGAACTGCTTTTTTTCACGCCAGGCATGTTTTTTCCCCTCTTGCCTTTCTTCCGGTAATAGATCCTACTCCCTGGGCCATAAGTAGACTCAGGACCAAAACTAGACAATCAGGCCACTCTATTCTTCTAGACAGTATTAGCCCTGAACCAGATAATCAGAGCTTTTTCTGGGATTGTGTATAGAAGTTGTGAGACAGAAATTCTTTCCTCTAGGGTTGCTGAGCTGGGAGAATGAGAATATGGGACTTCTAAGTAGTGGCATCTTCCCAGCACATGGAGCTCCCGTCTGCAGAATGGAGCCGAGCAACAACAAGCAAAGATGATAGTTATAAGGGGTGGGGTGTGGGAGGAGGAGGAACGAGAAAAATCCTGGTTACCGTCACAAGGTCCTGGTTCTTACATGTTTTCATTTGACTTTGGAGCTTCCATAGTATTCGTCCCAACACATGAATCCATAAATTCTCTTTTTGCTTAAGATACTGTGAGTTGGGTTTCTGTCACTCGAAACTGAAAGAATCCTGACTATTCCACCAAGTTGTGGGCTCAGCCCAAGGACCAGAGGAAGGTGGGTGATAAAGAAGTGGGAAGTCTTGAAAGCAAGAGGAGGGTTGATGGATCAGTCTTGACTTGGGACCACAAGGACGGATTTTCTATCAAGTAAACACTGCAGAAATAAGCCCCATTCTGCCCAATCATACCATCTTTCAGGGAGCAGATGAGGCAGTATTTTTCTCCAGATGACGTGTACTTAGCAAGTTTTTTTTGGTCTTACCTCTGTTCAGACCACTGGTTCTCTCATAAATATATTTCTTCTCTCCCCCTCCCCGCTGTCCTCACTGGTACCTTCAAGTTAAGGCTCCCAAGTTTATCAGTCCCTGACTTTGTACCGGTAATGTGGTGATGAGTTATTGCTCACACAGCAGCCTGTAGGTTGGGAATGGGGAAAACACCTACACAGAGGAATTCATAGTAAACAGAGTTGTAATTGCCCAGAATGGAAAATGGCTAAGCCTTCAGACAAATACAACAACAACGACAAAACCAGAATGGTCAGGATCTTGGTTTATAAGCAGTTGAACAGAATAATGTAGCTTTTGGTACCCAGAGGCACTTCAAGCCAAAGGAAATAGAGCACAGAATGAGCAAGCAGCAGACAGGCAGTGGGATAAGAAAGAAATTGCTGGATTACTTCACTTATGTTCCAAGTGGGCTGCTGATAGAGAAAGAATGTGTCCATTAGACAAACGGGCAAATGTCCAGTGGCCTTGGGGTTGGCCTGGAGGGAACAGATGGCAGGGAAGGTGTGTGGTGGCTTGGGGTCAGAGGTGGCCACTGCTGAGTCTCCATGACCCTGCCTCTCATCACCCTCTATGTCATTACACACATTCTAGCCTCAGTCTCCCAGAGCCCTGCGTCTGGCTGGATATCCTGGGAAGCTGCCCAGGCCACAGAGCTGAGTTAATTCAACTTGGATGATGTGCTTTATACCAATTTCCTTTTTTGTTACCACCCAGGATGCTGGCCTCATTCACCAATAATCCCGGTCTGGTTCAAGGAAACCACAGACTCAAGGAGCAAACAGCTTCGATGTCCCTGCCTAGGAAGGTGCCACTGGTGCAGCTCTTGCTCCTCCTACCTGTATGCACAGGGTTAGAGAACGTGGTGCTAGAATCCCAGGCATCCCGAGGGCCAGCGTTGCCCTCTGCCCTTTCCAGTGGAGGTGAGAGCCTTGGCACTCAGATTCCAGGGTGCGACGTCGTCTCTTGGGCTGCTGATGCCCCATCTCCTTGGACACGCATGCACACCTAGATCCCTCCCTTCAGCATCATCTCATTGAGCATCCACTGTGTGCACGTACTACTTTATGTGATAAGGATTCCAAGCCTTCTTTTCTTTTAAGTGTTAATGTTTTAAGAGCAGATATTGCCTGTGGAGAAAGAATTTTCTTAGCACCGACTCTCGGGATGCAGGCCATTCTCCAAACAAGCCTGTTTTTCTAGTCCTGTCTTGGCATCAATACAGCTTATCATCTCATCCTTGTCAGCAGATGCTTCCTAGCTGTGCAAATATACTTAGAAATAAAAATACAGTCCTGTTGAAATGCCAATAATTGACAACAGCAGCCATCATCTTTTTGGGCTTTTCTGGCAAAACATGGTCCAGGTTTGCTGCCTGTTGCCCCTAAGGGGCTGTTTGAGAGAAACAACAGAAATCCAAATTCCCAGGATGCGTCAGGTGCTCTGGTAAAAGCAAAACAGGGCTGCTGGTAATTTCCATATCCCAGGTGGTCTCTGCCACTCTGGACGGTGGCACCACTGTTCCCAGCAGCACGGAGCCAGCGATCAGACAGTGAGGGCCTTCAGAAACATTCTTGCAACAAGGCAGGCTTTTGCAACTCTCGAGGCTGCTCCAAATCCCAAAGATGGAAAAAAACAATCTGTATGTCATTATCCAGTCTTGAAGTGTTGTTGGCAAATCTGAGCGTCTACGTATTCCGAATCTTGCAGCCAACACTGGGAGATGTAGGAAGAGTCTGTGGAGCAATCTGGTGGAGCAAATCTGCATGGACACCCCCACATATAAGAGATCTTGATTCAATCTTTCTCACTCTATTGCTCTCACTGGTCCTTGATTCTACTCTCTCTCTCCTTCTCTCATTCTGCTTGAACACGCTCTCTTCCTTTTTCCTTTTTGCCTTCCAACGCCTCTCTACCCCCATCACTTTTCCAGATAAGGGAATCTTCTGGAAGCTGGGGGAACTGCAGTGCACATATGCACATGGCCATGCCCAAAAGGAAGCACTAGCACCACTAGGGGTCCCCAGCATGCCCTGCCATGGACCTCCACTGGGGGGCACATCTAACTGATCCTGGAGAAGTCAGGAATGCTGAGGCCCGAGGCTTACCAGATGCTGGAGGACAAATTCTTCAAACAAGGCCACATTTTTTTCTTTTCCAAAAGGAAGAATGTGACAGCAGGCCCTGGGAGAGTCCTTCAGGCTATGGCCGCTTGACCAAAAAAAAGAGAATGACTCAAAGGAAACAGATAGTGAAGAAAACTCCTTAAGTCCACAGCTGTAAGTGGTCTGCGCCAGAAAGCTGCCACTTAGCTGGGATAAAAAGGAACTTCTCTTTTTATCCTGTTCACTCAGTGATTTATCGGCAGATCAGCCTTTCAGGTTTTCTGCTGCTTCCACAACCAAAGAGCGTGTTTGCTCAGAAGTACCTTCGAGGCTGACAGTTTGTTGAGCGCCACGTTTGTTTTGTGCTTGACCTGTGACTGCTGTTCTTCTCGGGGACAGTATTGTCCCTTGTGGGGTGTTTGGACAGCTTGTGGTTGCTATGGCCACTCAGTGGGAGAGGCTGTGCTGGGTGTCCTACAATGTACTGGACAGTCCCGAACAATGAAGGACTTTTTCTTGAACGTCCTACTGAACTAATCCTACTACAAATAAAACCTTGTAGTGAAAAGTTTTGAAAAGCTTTTACAAGGCTGTACACAAAAAGTCCAGGATGTAAGTCGGCTGTGGAGAGGGAAGCTTAAATGAGATAACGTTTTCTCAAAATTATTAAATAATTTATTCACTATATGCAGTCTGATAATTGAATGCATTATGTAAGCTTTCCGACTATGCACTTAGTTAAAATGATTTCAGAACAGTTGTACAGGTACCACAAAGCAACACAACTGGTTGCAAATACATAGAAGAGATGGAAGACTCTTCTAAGCAAAATTAGAATCAACTATTATAAAATAGTAGACATCAATGAAATAATTGTGTTATTGCCTCCTATGTGTTTTTAAATAATTTTGTAGCATGATAAGAGATCTATTTTGTGAAAAGTACTTATTAAAATTATTTTGGGGTTCTTGTGTTCTGTCTTACACTGACACTGTCTCCAGAGGTTTCCAACACACTTCTTGATTGCCTCTTGTATGTATTGCTATATCTTTTTCCAATCTGTCATCTCTTTTCCATTGTTTAGCCACAGGATATGGTCTCCAGGGTCTCTTTTTAAATGCTAGAGACTATATTTATTTGCCTTGAACGTAGTGGGCTATTAAGATAGGATATATATTTCTATTTACTTTGGTACTTCTTCATCCTGTATCATAAGAAAAGGAACTACTTTGAAAATACACTATAATAAAGCCGAGCTCATTTGCAAAATTATCCTACTTCCTCATTTATTTATTTATTTTTTTTGCTTTGACAGTCTTTGGTTTTTCTTGGTATGTTATTACTAAATCAATTTATTTATTTTTTTTATTTATTTTTAAAAAAAAAATTTTTTTAATAATTTTATTTATTTATTTTT